TGTATTTTTATTATTTCTCCTGCCCCCCCCCAAATATCCTGTTATTAAACTAAAGAACTACAAGAATGAAACTCTGACTAAAAATCTAACTTTAGGCGACAGATTAGTTTAAAATCATGAGGGTGTAAGAATTACCAGACTGAGATTTTTTTTTTTTTTTCTTTTTCTCCCCTGCTTGTGCTCGATTTAAGGAAACTCAACATTAAAATGCTCCGTAGCCATCGCTGCGTGCAGCAACCGCGAAGGCAGGGTAGGCTTCGTATGCTGCGTACGTCGCTAAATCTTGTCCCATGGTCACCGCTTGTTTGAGCTGAGTGGCTGTGACGGTCGCGGCTGCGTTAGCAATAGTATATCCTGCAGGGGAAAGGAGGGGTGAGGAAAAAAAAAAAAAAGCAGATTAATGAAAAGACATTCAAAACTCACCAGCGCCTGATAGGTTTTGATGGGAAGATTTTGCTGTCGATGGGAATGATGTAGGGAGCAATGAGCTTGTTAATGGGAATAATCAAATTAAATAGGTAATTTCTGGCATGTTTTTCCTCCACGTTAAAGGTAATAAAAAAAAAAAACAACAATGCATTTCCTCACCTATTATTTGCTAAGCACACTGCTTAAAAATGCCCCTCTCTGTTGAATGTTTTTTCTTCAGGCTTTGGTTATTTCTGGTGCTCTGTGCACGTCCTCCCATGCATGACATGAGGAGAGCAAGAAAATGAAGTAATACAGGGGAAATATGGGCAGGTTTCACGGTGAAAAGATGGCTCTGATACCCTTCGCAGTCAAAATACATGCAGCCACATCAGAGAGGAGGGAAACTCCCTAAATGTAATATCATCAGGGTGAAAATATTTAGTAAACTGGATTTTTTTTTCCCATCAGTTTCTAATGGAAAATGTCGTTCCAACACTTCGAAATTTTCCATGGGAAAATGTTAGCTTTGCTGATTTAAAATGAATCACTGGGAAAACAAACATTGTTTGGGGCTGGTTTGTTTGAAAGCAGGGTATAGCAGCTTGTCGACCAGACCACAATATTTTGCTGTGAAAGAACCAAGAGTTAAGACAAAGCCCAAAATTGGGAAGAGCAGCTGGGGTACCCATTGGCTCCACTGGACCAGGCTTTGCAGTTTCCATCTCCCAGGGTCCAAAATCTCCAACCAACCAGCTGGACAATGGGATCAACTCAAGGTCAGTCAGAGCCGAGGCCCTCTCCGTGGGGGGGATAGAGATATTGGGCAACACTGAGAGCACGTTGCCTTGTTGAAGGTGTTGCCTTAGGGGAAAACATGAGAAAAATCGCTATAATTTGAGTATCTTTTTTGCATCAGCAAGGTGAGGTGCAACATTCTGACTAGGACTTCAGAAACTTGTCATTTAAAGCATATCTGCCACCATCATAAGAGAAACGAGCTGCTACCTCGGCATGGCCTGAGCTGAGCTGGGCTTCAGCAAGCCCTGACCAAGGGCCAGTGTGTGTCGCAATCAGAAACTTTAATGTATGTCAATTTGTTGTGTTTCCAAGACAAATAAATAAGGGTGGATGAAAGAAAAAGGAGAGATTATAATTAAGCAGTAAGTGGAGACTGGATTCAATAAAGAGTCCATTTGGTTTCCACGCTGCGGAAGCCTGCACAAACCCAGACAAATTGATTTTTCTGTGGCTTTTGTGGACTCCTGTGGCAGGAAGCCGGATAGATTTTATTTTATTTTTTTTTAAATCCATCCTTGAGACACTCCAAACAACTCAGTAGTACTGACTAATGCATTCCTCGTGTGCAGTTTGGCATGCGTCGCTCCCACTACATCAGAATAACCGTCATGCTGGAGAGCACAGTAGATGTAATTGCCTGCGAGCTGGATTCCTGCTCCCAGCCTGTGTTTTCCATGACTTCCCGAGCTGTTTTGGGCAGTTGCAAGAGCTGTTGAGCTCTGAATTTCCAAACTGGAAAAAAAAACCAAAAACCCCAAAACCCCCTTCCCCATGGGGGTGTGAGAGCTGGGATCAGATCCTAACTTTCACGGTTGCGCCATTTCTTTGGCCGAGGAAATCAAACCTGGTGGTTCAAAAGGAGCTGGGGGTGCTGGGGGAGGATGGATAGGCTGTGAATCAATCAACTGCACATCTTTGCAGCAAGGAAGATCTACTCCATCCTGGCTGGCGTCGGCCAGACCACAGCCAGCAGGTCCAGGGAAGGGGGGGGCTCATCCCAGATGTGGCACTGGGGACACCAGTTCTGGATCCTGCATCCTATCTGGGGCTCCCGGTTGAAGGGAAGCATCCACAACCTGGAAGGAGCGGAGGGGAGGTGCGTACCTGGGATGGGGCCCCGAGCGGTGGGGGGGTCCCTATCCTTGGACACGATCCCCAAGCAACCTGCTGCGCCCGCAGCATCGACCTGCTGGGAGCCGGGTCTGACCGGAGACACCCCCCCCACCCCGGTGCCTCCAGCCTGGGTGGCTCTATGGTATGTATACCATAATCTGGGGAGCCCTGATATAGAGGCAAATTGCTATATAGACAATAAAGATGTCATGCATAAGTAACCTGAGTCAGGGTAGAGGCATGCGGGGGAGCACAGCCAGATCTGTCCTCAAGTGGCCAAAAATGGGTTTATTGCTAACATCCGCAAGGAAGCAGCAGGAAAAATAACATTCCAGGAGACCTTTGCTGTACAGACCTTCCCGTACCTGGAAAAGCTGGCGCTGCAGGAGGCACCTCTGCTCCCTCCGTGGGGATCCCCAGCGTCTGCAGGGTGTATTCTGCCGCGTAGGTTTTGGCTTCGTCGATGTAGGCGCTGAGCTTGGGCGGTGTGAAGGGATGTCTGCGAGTACAGCAAAATGTTAGCTAGCTTGTTGGGGGTTTTGGTTGGGTTTTTTTGTTGTTGTTGGGTTTTTTTTCTCTCTAGATATTTTGATCCGTTCATAGATGGCATCATCCCACATATCAAATGGAAACATTATTTTACTGTGCCGATGCTTTAACAAAAGTACTCTCCTCCTAGCAGTCCGGCGGCTTTGCTGAGTTTGTCGGCCCTGGGTCTCGTTTGGGACACAACATCCTTTCGGAGCATGTCGTGCATTTTCAGTCCAAAAGAAAGTCTGCTGCAGTCTGGGTTTTTCTTTAGAATACACAGCAAACATTGTTTTCAGTCAGAAATGTTTAGAATCATATTTGGAGCTGAATTATCAGCATGTTCCTTCAAGCTGCTTTCTTTTTGCCCACAAGAGCTATCATATCCTTTATTTTTACACTGAAAACCACCCTTTTGCCTGATTATTTCTGGCTTTCTGTAATCTTTGCACCACCAGAGAGAGAGCACCAAGCATGGGAGACATCACTATCAGTCTATTTTAGTTTATGGATGCTTTTCTCCCTAATGTATATTTAAAAAAAAAAAAAAAAGGAAATAGAGACCTGTGCAATTGTGTTTTGAGGAGAGATGCTGGATATAATGGTGTTTTAAAAAAAAAATTAAATAAAATCCTAAACCCCAGAAAACCTCAAATAGTTACGTACATGGCGGGGTTCTGGCTGGTGAGGGCAGGGATGGTGATTTTGTAAAGGAAGAGCTGTCTTTGGTCTTGGCCGATTGCAGAGTGGAGCTGGTAAACAGGCTGGCCCCAGTTGTTTTTCTGGCAGATTTCTTCTAAGATCTGGAAGGGAGAAAAGGGATTTTTGCTCAGGTTAACTGCTGCGTCGTAACCTTCTCGCTCAGCTCCGGCCCCGGCACTGGGCAGCCTCCTTCCCTCCAAAGGGTTTTCAGGGGTGTCGCGGCAGCTTCCTCAAGGCTTCCAAAAAAATAAAATAAAGGGCAGACAGGATATGTTCACCTTGAAGTGTAAGATTCATCTAAATGTTTTATACTTTAAAAATCATTTAATTCCCAAAGTTAATTATTACCCCGTTAAATCGGACATCTTTGTCCTTTTGCTGATTATTCTGTTTTCAGTGTGTTTTTTTCTTTTAATTCTCCCCAGAAGCTCTATCTATGCAGTTCTATTTAACAGTGCTAAAACACGAGGGTTGCATTCATCCTCACTGCTTCTGTTGCCTCCCTGGCTT